TATACAGATCAACAAGAGAGCGGATTATATTTTATTAATCCAGGGAATGTGAAAGCATTTCTAATAATCACACCATCAAAGATCTGCCTTCAAAGTGATTCATGTTTCTTCTCTCTTTTTTTTCTTCTTTTTTTGTTTTTTTTTTTTTCATTTTTCACATTCACTTTTTTTTTTCTTTTCCTTTTTCTTCTTTATTTATTTATTTATTTATTTTTTTTTTTCCAACACATTTCTCGTACGTCCGTCTGATGTCTTTTATATTAGAGGATGATTTAATAAAAGAAAAAAAAAAAAAGAAAAAAAAAAAGAAAAAAAAACCATGCCTACATTAATAAAATTGTATCCCTTTACGACGTTTTATTTCAAGATATAATAATAATTATAATTAATTGCAATTGCTTCGTTGGTGGATCACAATTAGATAGCATAATTAATCTTTTAATGTAATAATAAATTACTTCGATACCGTATAGTTACCGAACGAACTTCTATTTTCTTACGATGACGTTAGTCGATAAGATTAGAATTAATTAATTAAATAAATAAATAAATAATTAAATATTTGTATGATAAAAATGCAAATGGAGCTTGAGATAAAGATAGATATAGAAAGAGATAGAAATAGATAGAGAGTGTATGAGAGAGAGAGAGAGAGAGAGAGAGAGAGAGAGAGAGAGAGAGAGAGAGAGTATGTGTGTGACAGCGAAGGAATTAAATTAATAATATAATTATAATTGCAAAAAAATATATAGTTTATTTTTCTTCTTATCACTTTGTACCATTTGACTCTTGAAGGTTATATTGTAACCCCGTGGTGTCGTCATATCATAAGAACTAATTGAATTTTAATTTTCTATTGACTATTTCATCATTCGATAATCATTGAACTACTGCAATTAGTATTTACCAAAGTTACGTATTACAAAGTGCATCGGAAAATTTTAATGGTATCAATTTGATTAGATATTTTCAATATGGTGTCACAAATATTTAACTTTATAATCGAATGTATTTTTTTTTTCTGCCTTGTTCCAAAAATGTTTAACTTCTTCTTCGATTATTATTCGTTGTATTAAACAATTGTTTAATTTTTTTCGTATTTTTAAACAATTGGTCAGTATTTTAAATAAATAAATATATATATATATAAAAAATATATAATACAAGTAATGTTATCCGGATGCAAACTTGACAATTAATCATTTATATCGATCAAAATATTTATATATGATAAATTTATTTTATCAAATATTTACTATTGATAATAAAAAAAAAAAAAAAAAAATACTGATCGAACAAAATATGATAATGTTATTATTTCTATCGAAAAATATTCTTTATCTTTTTGGAAAATCATAAATAGATATCATTTGTAGGAGAAATGTATGATCGAAGATTTCTTTCGAAGAAGATTATTACGTTAAAAGAGTTCATGAACATCTCTAAGATCTTTATTATTAAATACCTCAATTGTTTCCTTGTTATTTCATGTTATATTTCTTACTATTAGGCTTGTTCATAAATCTTACAGGATTATTTTCTCTCGAGACACGAAGACACGATCTCTTGCGCATTTCGTTATCACGCAAACTGGTTAACGCCACCTGACCACTTCCACGGAGTTCAGACTCCGCTACTTCTCTGTGTCTCGACCTCCAGCCCAAACAAGGTTACTCGAATCGAACCTGAATGACGACTTTGCGACGAAGATCAAGATCAAGAATATTGTTAACCTGAGTCCCTTTTGATTTTGAAATACATTCGTACTCGAATAAAAATTTCTTTCTTTTCGTTTAAGAAACGTAACATCAAACGTTAAACTCAATAAATATTCAAAAGATATTACATTGCACATTTATATAAATATATATGTGTATATATATATATATATACATATATAGTTATTTATTTATTATATACACATAATGATAGAGGTAAACCCTTATTTAAAATTCTGTTTAGACCGTAACCAAGAGAGAGATAGAGAGAGAGAAAGAGAGAGAGAGAGAGAGAGAGAGAGAGAGAGAGAGAGAGAGAGAGAATTCAACTTAGACTAAACCTATGTTGCCGAATGATTTCACTACGTTTCAGGCCCACCTTACATTACACGTTCTAGTTAATTACAAGGAGAGGATGAGAAGAGAGAAGGCACATTTATAGCATGTAATCTCGCTTCACCGAGACGATTTAACCACGACGAAGTGAAAGTAGTTGAATATTCTGTAGATTTATGCTCACTGAGAATATCACTTTATTGCATTATTACAATTGAAATTTGGATGAATGTATAAGAAAAAAAAAAAAAAAAAAAAAAAAAAAAAGAAATAAAAAAAAAGAATTCGATAGAGATATATATATATACATATTAAAAATCTTATCGATTCTTCTATTTAAAATATTAATACGTATAATACGTATAATATTAAGACGTTTGTAAATTGTAACATGATTGGATTATATCCAAACCCAAAAGTCTATTGGATCCGGTCCGGTTCGGTCCGGATCGTTCTGATCCACTTAATGCACCCAAAAAGGAAGGCAAACGTTCGAAAGACACTAATGGATGCATTAAATTTTGTTCATTTAAATATATTCTTTATTCTTTCAATTTTATAAATCATTATTGTCATATATAATATCATATGTAATATAAATAATATATAATATAATATATTCTTGTATATGATATTTAAGTATAATATTTCTTCTTCTTATCATTTCTTCTTATTATCATCTTCTTCTTATCTTCTTCTTATATATATATATATATATATATATATATATATATATATATATATATATATATATGAAGATAATATAAAGCGGGAGATAATATAAAAGAAAAAGGAAGAAAAGATTTTTTTCCAAGTTTATAAAATAATCAATTTTTCGTTTATATCAATGTCTTTAAAATAAAACGTTATTCGTCAAAATCAATCAAATATTACGCCTGTATAACGTAAACTATTATAAAATTAATGCTAAGTAAAAACTCATGTATGAAATGTATCGCGCCTGCACGTATGCAATCCTCGATACGTCGATGCATACAAAATACAACATATCGTATCGCGAACTTTCTAAATACTTTCGCTTTCTTTTCTCTTTTTCTTTCTTCCTTATAAACATATTAATATAATTACAAAGCAAAAAGAAAAAGGAGAGAAAAAAAAAAGAAAAGAGAGAAAATAAAGATTATCGGTATAACAACGGAAAGCAAGCATCGTGGTTAGATTGAACGATGGTTTTAATAAATTAAAAAAAAGGAAAAAAAATAGAACAAAATTAACAAAAAAAAAAAAAAAAAAAAAAAAGAAAAAAAAGAAAAAGAAAAAAAAGAAAGAAAGACAAGAAAAGCAGAAGCAAAAAAAGGAATGAATAAAATAAAATGAAATGAAATAAAAAGAAATAGAAAAGAAAAAAAAAAAAAAAAAAAAGAAGAAGAAAAAGAAAGGAAAGAAGGAAAAAAAATTAAAAAGAAATCTAATTGAGAAAAATTCCCTAAGAGAATTATGATAACGCTTGGGTTTTGTATTAATAATAAACATATTTAGTTTAAGTTTGAGAAAGGTAAAGTATAAAGAATAAGAATAAGGAGATGAGTCGCGTCTTTAATACACAGGAGGCAGCGGAGGCTGCGGTTAGAAAGGCAGCTCGTCGAGTCACCGCGTGTCGCGACTGCATACCTATAGCACCAATACAAGCAAACTATACCAGCTGGATAGCTCGGTCTCTGCTCGCATGAGAGCTACCTGTCCAGTATGTACGGTATCCGCGTACGAGTAGTGCCGTACGTTCGATCATCATCGGTTCTTTGCGTTTAACGGTGCTACACTCCTGGCACGCATCTTTCTCTCTCTCTTTCTCTTTCTCTCTCTCTCTCTCTTTCTCTCACACTCTCTCTATATCTCTCTTTCTCTCTCTTTCTCTCTCTGTCTGTCCGTTTCTCTCTTACTTATTGGACCCAGCTATTGGTCCAGTCACAGCATCCTCGTGTCTTTGATCATACGAAGATCCGATTGAAAATAGGAAGAAAAAAGAAAAAGGAAAAAAAAAAAAAAAAAAAAGAAAAAAGAAAAACCTACGCGCATTCGTTATATTTGATCATTGTTGATACGATTGATCGGTACAGTGAAATTCTTCTTTATTCGTGTGTTGTTTCCGGGACACGCCTATTCTGAGATATACCGAAGATATCCTTGTTTTTTTATCGGTGAGAACGACGTGTAAAAAAAAAAGTCCTTTCTGTTCTTTTTTTTTTTTTTTTTTTTTTTTTTTTTTGAAATATGAAATCCAATTGTAATCGTAATCGTCATCGATCCATCTAATTAATATAAGTCGCGTGTGTGTACGTGTATATATATATATATATATATATAAAATAAGGTTATTTGTTTTTATTAATTCTTCAAAATTTATTTTTTCTTAGCTTCGTTTTTTGTTCCTCTTTCTTCTTCTTCTTCTTCTTCTTCTTTTTGTTGTTGTCATTTTTGTTATTGTTTTCTTTCTCTTTACGTTTTCATTTATTTCTTTTTTTTCTGATTCTACCATTTCTTTTCTATTTTTTTTCTCTCTCTCTCTCTCTCTCTCTCTCTATTTTTTTTTCTTTTTAATATTGATTTTACTCGCTAGAAATTCCACAATATTCTCGATTTTGCTTGCTCTCGAAGTAAATGGAATGCGTTTTTACTGTAGTTCGCTGAAGCATCATCGCAAAAGAGAAGGTCACGCATCGTGAAATACCTTTACGACGTTTATATACCTCTTTCTTATTCGAAGACTTTGGCTACCTCCTTTCGTGTATATCATCTTCTTCTT